ATTTTCATTAAGCACTATATCCATTAAATAAGAAATAAAAGTATACAATTCTTACACTTAAAATCAGAAAATGCAATCACTTTCTCCTAAGGAAAGTCTTCCTTCTTCAGACTTGGTTGGGGAGCAGCCACTTATATCATTCACTCATATTTTACTTTGTGAATGGCAAGGAATGTATCCAAGGCATTCTAGTAAACCCATTATTTTGAATTTCCTATTGCGTTTTGTTCAGGTAAAATAAATATAAATAATATAGATTTACCAAAGTGAATAATGTTAAATTGGGGATATATAGCTTGGTATTTATAAAAAAAAAAAAAAAGAAAAGTTTTATTTTTTTTTTGCTTCTGGATGGATTAATCTTTCATTTTTTTCTTAGATTTTTTTTATTTTTGATGGGCAAGCATACATCAGTGATGATGTCAAAATATCAGGATATTGGTCTATAACAGAGAGGTGTCAGCCTGGTCAGATAACCATCCCACAGAACCCACGCAAGCTAACATGGTAAACAGAAATTCCACATATGTATTACTGGACATTATAATTATCGTATTTAATGTAAAAACTAGAATAAACAGGAAAATCTGAAATCAGATTACAGAGAGAAGGTAAACAGTGAAACAACCCAAAGTCAAGGACAAAAGAAGTCAGAATAGTCAAAATACAAGCCCAAGGTAAAAAACACAGAGTAATAAATTGCTAAACGCTCTCTCAGGTTCACCAGAATGGGAAACCATGGCAAGGCAATAATTTAAATATACACAGGAGGGTTCTAATTGGCCAAAATAAGTCATGTGATGGCGGAAAGCATGTGCGTGACATCACACGTACGTTTCCGAGCATCACAAACTAAGGGTTCCCAAGGGTCTTATATATGTATGGGCGCACAGTGGCTGGCATCTAATATGCTAACAAACACGGCCGCTACTTAGGTAAGTACAGTGTTAGGTGGAACGCGCGACACAATGAAGTGTGCTCACTGGGTACAAGACCGTTCTTGAATCGGATCACGGCCAGTGGGCGCCGTGACGATAGGGATACCTATGCAGAGATAAAATATCCAATATGAAAGAATAGAGATATCTGTCATAGTAACATATGTTTGATATGACAGGCTGCACATTTTTAAAACAATAAAATAAAGACAATAAAGAGAAAAAAGCACTAATAAGAAAAAGAAAATAAAGCATAACATATGCACTGGTTGCAGATTCATAGTCCAAGCCTGGCAAATGTATGAAAACTAAATTAAAAGAAAATGACAACAGTGTTAATCTTAAACGTAGCTCAGTTATGTGGAAGCAGTATTGTGTCCCAGCTGAGTAAGGTAAAACTGGCATGTTTCCTTTGGGACAGTCTCAGTCATAAATCCAAGATCAACCTATGCCCTGTATGTGTTGAACAGAATTCCACATAACGAAATGCAGCCAGGCGGTCGTAGGGCCAGGTGTAGGTGGGAGCCAAGACAAAAAGAGACTTGTGGACTGCAGAATCCACAGCGACATATCCTGAACTCCTGACATTGGGTAAGGCATTGACCTCTGTTTTTCAGAATATAGGCAGTATAGCCAGGTCATTTATCTGTAGGCAAGACCATGGATACCGGGGCTACTACAATTTTGGAGAGGTATGAGTAAGCGATGTCTCATAAGTGATGAGCATCTGCTTCATAGTTACGGGAGACTGTAGTCAGAGGCTGAGCTTATAGCAAAATTATGCAAATAACTTGTCTAGTTTGGCCAAAATAGGAGACTGCTGGCTGTGGGCATAGAGTAATGGCTCTGCATCTGCCATTTTAGGTAAGACTAAAAATTAGTAAAAAGATCATTCAAGGTAAATTATATGGGAATTTCAAATTTAAAATCAAAATATCTGTACAAGAAAATTTCTCTAAGCCAGTTATACTTTCAGTTCAGCTCCTGTGACCTTTTTAAAATTCACCTGAAATTCCCTTTGAATTCTCACTTTAATGAATAGCTCTGTAAAACTCAGTAAGATGACTTTGGTAGTCTCCTAACTCATGCTAAACTCGTATGTTAAAGCCAAATTTGCTCCTTTGCCTACTAGTGTCTAAAACCTATTTACGAGAAGGCATTTGGAAGCCCTAAAGAGAACTGAATGCTTTAATTATTTTTGTATTGAGCATATCTTTAAAAATAATTTTAACTAATTTTAGCATTATTGATAAAAGTCAATATTGTTCAAAATATGTGTCTTTATACAATTAACACATTTTGTCAAAAGTACTTTTAAAGATGTCTCACCATTATAAAATTAAGAAAGTTGGACAGGCACATATAGATGGTGTTTAGGCAGATTTTATTGCAAAGTCATACAACGCTTTGACTACCAAAGGAGACTTTATAGCTTTTCTGATACAATCTGCCTAACCACCATCTATGTATTCCTTGTCGAACTCTCTTCATGATTATTGTTACCTTGGAAATGGTTCGCCTTAGCTGGAGACACTACGGATGGAAATTTAAGCAAGTGCCACTCCACTTTTTAAAGTTATAAAATGTCAAAACTAGCAACATTATTATTTTTAGTAAGCTATTAAAGCATAGATAATGCAAAGCAGAGCATCTGAGAATTACACATTGTGAGAATTAATTCTACAGAATGTGCAGATATAACTGTAAATGTATAGTATCTGTAATGAAAAAAGACTATTATTGCAAATGTAAATGGGATTTCGTTGAAGATGTTCAATTACAGCAAACTCATATGACCTATATAGTACAATAAGTTAATTTTCATTTGAATGGCAGAAAGCAAGCAAATGCATTGGGAAACTAAAATTATAGGAAAGAAACATTCTGTTAATTAACAGGAAGATAATTGCATAGCTTTTGAAATATAAACACAAGTTGGAATTATAGTAAGTAATGGAATCTATAGTATAATGTATACGTCCCTACTATCTTGTCACTACCACAATTCTGATTCAATGAGTTCTAGAGTAGGCTAACTGTAAGGCATATTATAGGTTACCAATTCACAATTATTACATGATGACATATCAATGAAGGGTTTGTCAGCATCACTTAGATGTGGCAGCGTATCTTGTCAGCAATGGCATTTGTATGTATACAGGCCTACACTTCATTAGGGGTTTGACCTAATGAGTTCTATTTGTGACCTGATTTGTCTTGATCTTCCTTGCCTTCTGTGTTCCTATTTGCCACTGTGTCTGCTTTAGGACTATTCACACTTTATGTTCACTAGTTATCAATTCAAAGGCCCAATTAGCTACCTGTAGTCCAATGGCTCTGAATAGTGTTGATACATAGTGATATATTGTTATTTATGTATTGGTTGTCATTTATAAAATAAAAATTAATTGAAATACTATATATATATATATATATATATATATATATATATATATATATTTATTTGTGTTCGGGGCAATATCGATATTGGTGATGCAAGATTGTGCTGTGGTGTAACCTGTTATAGGAAAAGTCGGTTGAGGTGTGCCGGAACCGACGATGCGGTATGCCTGGAAATAAAAGTCTTAGAAGAATATTAATGAATAAAGGGTGTGGAGGGAGGGGCATGTAGAGTAGGAAAGGGGGTGATGATGCCGTGGAAAGGCAGAGGCGCAACCGCCTGTTCACAGGGTCGAAGGTCAGTGGGTGCTTCCGGGTCAGTTTACCACACGGAAGATAAGAGCAGGAGCAAGCAGCTGGAGTGGAGCATGCCGATGGGAGAACCTGAGTGCCTGGATGAACAGCAGAGCAGGAGACAGCCAACAGCAGAGCAGGGGAGAACAGCAGTTCCATGTATATAAAGAAACGTTAATCCAGGATGTACTCACAGGAAGTTACATACAGCAAAATAATCGATGTTTCGACCCTGACGGGTCTTTTTCAAGATCACTGTATGTAAATAAAATCGTGTTTATATATCAAATATGTAATAAACTTACCAATCATTGAAGTGGAGTGCCGCAGCCCCTTACTACCCAGAAGTGCAGTGAAGCCGCATGTGACGTCAGTACGTATTGACGTACAGCAGAATAGTACATGGTTACCCGGTTACCAAATAACAAATGTAGGGGTGAAAGGAATATCTATCGGGTGAAGAAGCAGTGTCAGTGTGAGACAAAACTCAGAAAAGGAGAACGATACCAACCCAGCTAGGGTCTAAACATATACAATTGTATCATTACATGAATTTATTTATTCAGCCACAAGAGAAGACGGGGGTGAAGAATAGGGCCAAACGTTAACAAATGCAAATCTGTGTAAAATATAGTGATACTTTCAAAAGTGAAGGGAAGTAACAATGAACTTCTCTCCTGCGGCATAAACAATACTATATTAGCATTTGTATTTACCAATCTTAAATGGTAAATACAAATATTTGCAGTACTTTGTGGAATGTACATAATAAGCATATGAATCCCATGTACTTTAATAATAAACTCTATTCAAAATACAAGACAAAACAGAATTTTTTTTAGCAAACATAAATCAAAGTATATTAATTTCCTTGTGCTATCATAAAATTCATAGTATTATATTAATAATAAATAAATAAATTATAATAATAAATATATATATATATATATATATATATATATATATAGTGTTCAAGTAGAGATTGTAGCCACATTAGTCCAGTGATGTAGATGTAAAAATAAATAACATTTGTATCTTGTAACCTTTTTTATTGGACTAACATAATTTTTTAATGACCTCAATTTCTCAAGTCTAAAGCATTTCTGAGCAAGACGACACATAGAATTCAAAGTTGAATTGTGATACAGGGGTTAAAGGAACACTAAATTACTTTAACTAAATAAAGCAGTTTTAGTGTATAGATCATTCCCCTGCAATTTCACTGCTCAATTCACTGTCATTTAGGAGTTAAATCACTTTGTTTCTGTTTATGCAGCCCTAGCCACATCTCCCCTGACTATGATTGACAGAGCCTGCATGAAAAACAAACTGGATTCACTTTCAAACAGATGTAATTTACCTTAAATAATTGTATCCCAATCTCTAAATTGAACTTTAATCACATACAGGAGGCTCTTGCAGGGTCTAGCAAGCTATTAACATAGCAGGGGATAAGAAAATCTTAAACAGAACTTGCAATAAAGAAAGCCTAAATAGGGCTCTCTTTACAGGAATTGCTTGTGGAAGGCTGTGCAAGTCACATGCAGGGAGGTGTGACTAGGGTTCATAAACAAAGGGATTTAACTCCTAAATGGCAGAGGATTGAGCAGTGAGGCTGCAGGGGCATGTTTTATACACCAAAACTGCTACAATAAGCTAAAGTTGTTCAGGTGATTATAGTGTCCCTTTAAAGCGACATGTGCGAATAAGACACAGGTTTCATAGAAAATAGACAGAATGCTCGCAGAGGGTTGTAAATATCTTGTGTGAAGATCACAGAGTGAGGCGGGAGAGAAAAAAAAACAAGCAAACAGTGTAGAAGATGGTGCTAGAAGGGGAGAGTTAAAAAAAATAATTACCGTATATACTCGTGTATAAGTCGATCTCATGTATAAGTCGAGTGCAGTTTTGTGACCAACAATTGTGAAATAGGCTATGCCTCGTGGATAAGTCGAGGGTAAAACTTGGGGCTATGAAATTCTGTGATTTTTATAATTATATACACACACACTCATACAAACACACACTCTGCATTATATATACACACACTCATACAAACACACACTCTGCATTATATACACACACACTCATACAAACACACATTCTGCATTATATACACACACACACTCATACAAACACACACTCTGCATTATATACACAGACTCTGTGTATATAATGCAGAGTGTGTATATAATGAAGAGTGTGTGTTTGTGTAGTGTGTGTGAACTGGGTGGGGGGAGGGCATTTTTATTATTTTAATTTTTTTATTTTAATATTTTTTTTTTAATTATTTTAATTTTTTTTTGTCCCCCCTCCCTGCTTGTTAACCGGTGAGGGAGGGGGCTATCTATAATCCCTGGTGGTCCAGTGGCATGGGCTGTGAAGTGGGGGGCCGGCAGGAAGCATTTACCTTTCCTGCAGCTCCGGTCAGCTCCCTTCTCCTCCGTTCCGGTCAGCTCCACTGTAAGTCTCGCGGTCTGGTTGCCGCGCGGATCGTTGCCACGGCTCTGACGGCCGCGGCTCTCTAAGTTACCATAATACAGACAGTGACTCGAGTATAAGTCGAGTGGGTGTTTTTAAGCACAAAAAATGTGCTGAAAAACTAGACTTATACTCGAGTATATACTGTACTTATATTAAGAATGCATGAATTCCCATCCAAAAATTACAGGATGTGCATGAAGGCCTATATCCAGCATACAGACACACATACAAACACACACACTCACACTCACACATGTACATATACGTATACACAAGTAGTGTATATGTACAAGTATACACAAGCACATACACAATATTCATAAGTACATACAAAAGTAAATATAAATACATACAAAAATAAATACAACCAATTGCAAAAATATATGTACATATACACCTATACATACATCCACACATAAGCCCCAATACATGTACCTACAAATGTACCAATGTGCCTACATATATATAGACCCATATATATGTATATATACACATAGACCTATTCAAATATAATATTATTATTTACAATTTTTACAATTTTATGAGAGGGCGGGATTCAACTATAAATAGGACAATTACAAATACAGGAATGATAGGAGGTGGGGTATAAAACACATTAGGACAGGAAATAGCAATCAAATAAGGTGGGAGTGAAGCAGAGCTGGAGGAAAGAGTAGAGTGCTGCCCTTTAGGAGAGAGCAAGAGACAGGTATGTAAGGTAGAGGTTACTCTGGGAGGTCATAAGCTTTCCTAAAGAGATGGGTTTTTCAAGGCACTTCTTAAATGATTGAAGACTGGGGGAGAGTCTGATGGCGGTAGGCAGGCTATTCCATAGGAAGGGAGCCGCCCGCGAGAAGTCCTGCAAGTGTGAGTTTGCCGTACAGGTATGAGCAGCGGACGTGAGAAGGTCACGGGCAGAGAGAAGAGACCGGGAAGGGACATACCTATGGATATGTGAAGAGATATAAGAGGGGATAGAATTGGTCAATGCTTTATATGTATGGGTTAGCACTTTGAATTGACTTCTATAGGATACAGGAAGCCAATGTCAGGACTGACAGAGGGGTGAGGTGTGAGAGGACTGACTAGAGAGGAAAATCAGTCTAGCGGCAGCATATATTAGAGACTGTAGTGGAGAAATACGTCTGAACGGCTATATACATACACACACACACACACACAAGAACAAACATATGTATACGTATACACATACATACATGAACACATATACATACACATACATACACATACACATACACATACACACAAACACATATACATACATGCACATGAACTCATATACACAAATATAAATGCACAGTCATATATATTCACATACGTGCCTAAGAGTATGGGAAAACATAGGTCTATACATAGTACTTTGTGCATTGATAGGATAAACATATCATTGTAATGCATTTTAAAATGTTGATACATATAACAGAACAGTAAGATAACACTGGGATGGTTTCCCCAATGGAGCATCCTAGGTGGCATTTGATGCATTGAATAATGCATACCACATTGCTGGATGTGCAGGAGTACGCTGGGTATAGGTCTTCATGCCTAGCCTGTAATTCTTGGATGGGAATTCATGCATTATTAATATAAGTAATAGTTTTTTTTAACTCTCCTTTTCTAGCACCATCTTCTGCACTGTTTGCTTGTTTTTTTTCTCTCTACAAATAATTCTATGTCATCTTGCTTGAGGTTATCCCGAAAGCTTGTCATTCATTGTCATTGTCGTCTTGCTTGAGGTTCTCCCGGAAGCTTGTCATTAAAAAATTCTGTCTATATATATTTATACACAGTATCTTACAAAAGTGAGTACACCCCTCACATTTTTGTAAATATTTTCTTATACCTTTAATGTGACAACACTGAAGAAATGACACTCTGCTACAATGTAAAGTTGTAAGTGTACAGCTTGTATAACAGTGTAAATTTGCTGTCCCCTCAAAATAACTCAACACACAGCCATTAATGTCTAAATCGTTGGCAACAAAAGTGTGTACACCCCTAAGTGGAAATGTCCAAATTGGGCCTAATTAGCCATTTTCCCTCCCCGGTGTCATGTTACGCGTTAATGTTACAAGGTCTCAGGTGGTAATGGGGAGCAGGTGTTTTAAATCTGTTGTTATCCCTCTCACACTTAATCATACTGGTCACTGGAGGTTTAACATGGCACCTCGTGGCAAAGATCTGAAAAAAACAATTGTTGCTCTACATAAAGATGGCCTAGGCTATAAGAAGATTGCCAAGACCCTGAAACTGAGCTGCAGCATAGTGGGCAAGACCATACAGTGATTTCACAGGACAGGTTCCACTCAGAACAGGCCTCGCCATGGTCAAACAAAGAAGTTGAGTGCACATGCTCAGCGCCATATCCAGAGGTTGTCTTTGGGAAATAGATGTATGAGTGCTGCCACATTGCTGCAGAGGTTGAAGGTGTGCAGGGTCAGTGAAGGTGTGCAGGGTCAGCCTGTCAGTGCTCAGACCATTTGCCGCACACTGCATCAAATTGGTCTGCATGGCTGTCGTCCCAGAAGGAAGCCTCTTCTAAAGATGATGCACAAGAAAGCCCGCAAATAGTTTGCTGAAGCCAAGCAGACTTAGGACATGGATTACTGGAACCATGTCCTGAGGTCTGATGAGACCAAGATAAACTTATTTGGTTCAAGCGTGTGTGGTGGCAACCAGGTGAGAAGTACAAAGATAAGTTTGTCTTGCCTACAGTCTGGGCCTGCATGAGTGCTGCCGGGACTAGGGAGCTACAGTTCATTGAGGGAACCATGAATGCCAACATGTACTGTGAGATACTTAAGCAGAGCAGTATTCCAACATGATAACAACCACAAACACAACTAGAAGATGACCACTGCCTAAAGAAGCTGAAGGTAAAGGTGATGGACTGGCCAAGCATGTTTCCAGACCTAAACCTTATAGAGCATCTGTGGGGCATCCTCAAACGGAAGGTGGGGGGAGCAAGGTCTCCAACATCCACCAGCTCTGTGATGTCGTCATGGAGGAGTGGAAGAGGACTCCAGTGGCAACCTGTGAAGCTCTGGTGAACTCCATGCCCATTAGGGTTAAGACAGTGTTGGAAAATCATGGTGGCCACAAAAAAAACTGACTTTGGGCCCAATTTGGACATTTCCACATAGGGGTGTATTCACTTTTGTTGCCAACGGTTTAGACATTAATGACTGTGTGAACAGTTACAGTGAGGGAAAAAAGTATTTGATCCCCTGCTGATTTTGAACATTTGCCCACTGACAAAGAGATGATCAGTCTATAATTTTAATGGTAGGTGTATTTTAACAGTGAGAGACAGATTAATAAAAAAAATCCTGAAAAACGCATGTCAAAAAGTTATAAATTTATTTGCATGTCAATGAGTTACCTGTATAAAAGACACCTGGGAGACAGAAATCCTGCTGATTGATAGGGTATCAAATACTTATTTCACTCATTGACATGCAAATCAATTTATAACTTTTTTGACATGCATTTTTCTGGATTTGTTTTTTTGTTATTCTATCTCTCACTGTTAAAATACATCTACTATTAAAATTATAGACTGATAATTTCTTTGTTAGTGGACAAATGTTCAAAATCAGAAGGGGATCAAATACTTTTTTCCTCACTGTATTTTGAGGGGACAGCAAATTTGCGCTGTTACGTCACAACGTCAACGCGCACGCACGTTTTGGGGTCAGAGGTCGCCCTCTGACCAATCAGACCTTAGAGAGGGATATTTAAATCCCTAACTCACCCCAGTACCTTGCCCTGTCGTGGTTTCCTGTTCCTGGTTTCCTGAGAGTGCTTTATCTTTGTGAATCTGATTTCCTGGTATCCTGATCTTGGCTTTTCCCTGGTTATTCTGAATTCTGGTTTCCATGACTTGGCTTGTGTAAATTGTATTGTGTATTTTCTGGCTTCCTTGACCTCGGCTTTCCCTTTGACCATTCTCTGTCTCTAGCGTATTAGTCCGGCCATTCTAAGGTCCGGTTTACGCTCTGTCCTTTTATTTTCCTTTTCGTGCCTATGTATATGTTTACATAGTTTCTGCGTGCTGGACCACACTAGTAGTCGTGACAATATATATATGTATATCCAAGAAATTTATGGTGGGGA